CGTTTCGAAAAAAAGACCAAGTTTGTTGAACTGATTTATTATACGTGCTCGGTAATTTTCTTTTTAATACAGACTTTTGCGAGTGATGCAAAATATTGTTAAATTGAAGTATTGTGGTATGAAGTATGAAGTCCAAGGCAATAGAAGGAAATTTGACTCCGTATCCGAGAAAGGATAATGCTGAGGAATTGTTTATCGTGTAACGCATTCAATAAGTAATTAATAATGCTATTATGAGATGATAAGTATTTGGCTTAATTGTGCATTTGATAAAAAGCAGTAATGATCGTTGTTTATACATACGTACAATGTATGTAGAAAATAGATATTATTGCTGTTTGATGATAGCCGATACTCGTTATTAATTAAAATGCTTTACATTATAGACTTAACAGTACAATTACAAATATTAGAGAAAAATCGTCGATAAAGTAAGAATGTTTAAGCAATTAAAAGTATATGAGGTATATGTGGAGAATAGTTTCCAGCGTTATAAAAGACTTAAGTGAAGGGAATGGAGTGATAAAGTTACGCTTTTTAAAAGTAAATGAGCTTTGAAAACAATTCGAACATTCGTATAAAATTGAAAAACATTGTTCTGTTGTCTCACGGTAATATTACACACAGACTGTTAATACTATTGCTTATATGAAATGTTGGGACAATAACATTTACAAAGGATAAGAGAAAGTCGCGAAAGTAATACTTTAGCAATGACAGACAACGTCATGGATATCGTGAATTGTTTCGGCTGCAGTTGCTACTGTCAAACACGAAAATAACACGAGAAAGAAGTTTAAAAGACTTGATAAATTCCTTGTCCATATTATCGTTTACTCATTCTCATTGTTTCATTTTATCGAATTCCCTTGCACGTTTCTTTGTCAGCAATTTCGCAAGTAAAAATACTCTTTTAATATACTTCATCAAAAAAGTCCCATGATTTCTTTCAATTCTGAACTTTCGTCTTAGAAAAGGATGATTAGTTAAATTTCGATTATAAACTCTTTTTATTGGAAATTTCCATTTACCAGCTATAATAATAACGGTAAAGCTGAATGTAGAATTTTCAGCAGACGATCAATGTTAATAACCAATAATCTCTTTTAATATAAAATTGTTGATAAGCTATTGTAATTATGCGAAATAAACAAGTTCGTATCGCCATATGGGTGGCAGGATTAAAGAAAAAAAAAAAAAAAAAAAAAAAAAAAAAAAAAAAAAAAAAAGAAACAGTAATACGAAATTCAATTTTCACCCACTTTGGTAAGATACTCTCGGAAATTTCCGAATCAGCCTACATCGGGATTTATATAATCAAATACGTTGATAATCCAGATCCTAAAGCCGGTATAACGAGCTTGCGAACTGACCGCAGCGGGAAACTCAATCTCAGCGCCTCTTCCCCCTAAAAGTCTATAACAAACAGAGAGCAATTCTCTTTAGCTTCTCGGCTTCGAGTATTTTGTGGGATATGGCGCTCACCGACTTCAATGACTTCAATTGCACCGGATTTGAAACTTCATTTGAATCTTCCATATTACCGAATTGTTCAATAATATCGTTGAATAATAGCGAAGTACGTTTGCCTATCCTCTATTGATGAAAATTTATTTGAAAATAAACCAAACATCTTCAATTCTCCCACCAATCATAATTCTTCGACTTAACTACGTTTATAAAGACCGCTTTAACGCGCGAGGATGTTATTGCAATTTTACGTAACTACGTAGATAGATTCGACTATAAAAAAGCCGTTCTCCATTAATAAAATGTTCGTCCTGTCAAAGTGTCTATGAGTACACATTAGCGAATTAGAATATATGATCATGAAAGTCTTATTAAAAGATTGCTTGGCAATTTATATTAAATAAAATTGTATTACATTTGTTTTTAATACTGAATAAAGTAACATTAGCTTCGCGAAATTTCCGTAAAATTTCACGTTTAATCATTCGAAACTTCATGCATAATTCTAATATAATGATTCGAAGAAACCATTAATTTAAACTGTAAGATTATATTGCTTTAGCTACAAATGTGTATTTATCATGTCCAACTAAGTGGCGATGGTTCGTATTATTAAATGCTTACTTTTTCTGTATAAGGATGGATTTCATTGACTTTCATAAGTGCAAGCTTTTTCTAGGGAATGATAAACATGTTAATTGTAAATATCGTCTTGTAGTTATTCAGTGACGGAGACAACGTCCTATTGGCATTATCTTTACTTTCTCTCTTATTTAACTCTCATCTTATGACATACCACTGTAACCACTGTTGTTGAAGTCATGTGACGAACAAATGTTGAAGTATACATAGAAAAGTGGAGTGTTAAAATGCTTTAAAATTAAACACGCTATTAATGTTTGGCTAATAGCGCTTGTAATTAAGTGTATTAGGCAAAAAATTATCTGTTACTCACGTAAATGGCAGTATGTGGATTTATAATCATATTGAAAAGAAAAGAAAATATCTCTTGAACAAATTGTTTGGAAATTTCGCGCAAATAATGTGACTGTCATTATCATGTATTTTTGTTTCTATATCTTTCATTATTCAAGATCATTATATATTGAAATGTAATATTGATAGAATTTCGGCAAATTAAAGAGTAAGCGGTAAGAGAATTGTAAAAGTTGGGGAAAAAAAGTACGAGCTTAATCGATTAATTTTCCAATATCTTCTCAAATGAGAATAATAATTTCAGAGCAAACTATAGATGATTTTCCTTAGAAAATTTTATTAAAAACTATTTTGTGCTTATCGTTTTCAAAAATTTATAATACAAAATAAGTTAGTCTGAGAGAAGTTTTTTGACAACAGATTATTTAGAATAAAAAATACATTTTTTTTTAAATTTATAAAATTAACGATTGATTTTTAGAATGTTCAGCTTCCAAACACAATAATTTTCCAATATAATTCTAAATAATCCAAGTTGGCAGCGTAGGGCAGGTAATGTTGTACAATAACCGCAACGCTCACATTTATTAGGGCATCCTGTTTAAATACTTAATAAATGAAAAAAGACAAAAAAAAATGACAAAAAAAAAAGGAAAGAAAAAACAAAAACTATGCACAAGAAATCCAATAAATCAAAGAGCCTTAGCTCCACGCCATTTCAGAATTCAATAGAAGTAAGCTGTTTTTAGCCATAATGGTCCGTCGATGAACCAACAAAAACTCAATCATCAATAGACAGGAAAAAAAAAGAAAAAAAAGAAAAGAAAGTCAACGTAACGTAAGCCTCACCTTGGTGATGAGATCCTTAGCACGGCTCTCGAACAGATGCTCGAGCTTCTGTGTGTCGACCGGGATGGGCGAAAGCTCGTCCCAGATCATCTTGTTCTTGTCGAGCCGCGACAGAATGATCGGATCGTCCCTCACCTCCTTCCAGAATAACTTGACCGTCTTTTTGCTTTTTTTGTTGCTCATCGTAGCCTGCTGCTGCTGCTGCTGCTGTTGCTGCTGTTGTTGCTGTTGCGACGGAGGTACTGGACTCTTTGGCGTGTCTGTCGGCAAAGACCTCAGTGACGTCATTGTTGTCTGTTTGAGGTTTACACCGAAGAGGGGCGGCGGTACGTTGGGCAGTGGCGGCGGGGCCCGACAACCCGGGGGTGGTGGTGGCGGTCCACGCGAGTTCATTGCCGAACCTGTTTCAGGCAAATTCTCGTTAGTCTGGATGTTGCACTCGATTTTGGAATTGTCTCTTGGTCCAGAGATTCGAGTTTCCTCGCACACGAAGTATTACTATCTGTGGTATCTAGATCCGGCTCAGCCGTATAAACATCGAGGCTTTTCACAACGTGTTATTATCAACAATAAGGTTTAAGGGCCAATCAACACAACGATGGACAAGGAATGCTTGTTGCTCGCCCATGTTAAGCCGAATTAGCAATGAAGTATAAGGGATTGTGTTTTGAGATTTTTGACGTATATATATATATATATATATATATATATATATATATATATCGTCAGCGCAACAACTCTCGTGTATTTACGTGCAATGCACGTGTCACAGTCGCGTCAAGTAATACCAAGTTACTCAATTTTTTTTTCAGAGCGCTAGAGCCACATTTGTAAAATAATTGACAAGCGCGTGTAAATTGTCGAAAATAAAGAAAATAACTGGAATGAAAGTATCTAAAATAAAGTGTATTAGTCGATTAAATATTCGTTATATTCTTAAAAATTTAAGTGCTATTACGAATAATCATATACGTCCATGGAGTAATTGTATACACGTAAATATATAATAATTAGCTCTTTCTTGTACTCGAAATTGAGAAACGTTTATATAAGCTACAATTTCAAATAAATCATTACAGTGTTATTAAATATATATGAGCAAAGGCTTCACTCTGACCGACTATCGAAAGTAACTGCGTTCGCATTTCAAATATAATAGTACATTTAAAGAAATCTTATACTCGAATATTCATTTAGCTTACAAGATAAATGTTTAGCTCATTTGAAGAATTATAATCGGCATAAAAAAAAAACAGCGCTTATGGTTCGTACCAACAATAAAAGAAAAATTAATAACGTAAATATTAGACAGGAAGAAAGATAGAAAATTGATGTATTTTCTAACCAGGTGGTGGAGCCATTGGTGGCGGTGGTGGCGGAACGCCATTAGAGATACTGACTGGACCAAGTACGTCGATCTCGTCGTCGGAATTGAGATCGGTAAAGTCCAGATCACACAGACATAGGGGCCTCTTCAATTTGTTTACAAGCTCTTCCCAATGAAGCTCATTTTCCGATTTCTTCACTTCCGTAAGTTTTGGCAAATTGTCGTTGGTCGGTGATTTCACAACGTCGGCCTTTGATTTTGACTTGGCCAGGCCCTCTTTTGCTTTTGAAATTAAGCCACTTACGTCCCCTATCCTATAATGAATAAGTTGAAGAAACACTCGATGTGTAACGTGTATTGTTCCAGGAGAGTCGCGCAATCTCGAAAACAATTACAATGTACCCATATTAAACTTTATTCTCGTTCGATTTCATAATTTTATAATCATTATAATGTACGACATGGGATCCCGGATATTCGATAGATATTCCGAAATACAAGTAATTACTTTAAACAGCTAATTTACATCATTTTTACGATCAATTACAGAACGTTTCTTCATTGAATTATGCAGCGGAGAAAACATGGGTATAAAATTAAAATAAAAAAAAATAAAAATAATAAAACAACAACAAACAAAATAAAAGGTAAAATAAAAACTCCTGGGTATAGATTGAATGTTTACTAGGCTTATGAATATGAACAGACTTTAACGTAACTTTAACATTAATTTAACGCTCGGGATATTAGACAACGAAGCTACCTAGAGATTTTCTCCTCGACAGGGCTACTCGGAATGAGATTCTGAGCCGTGAGCTTCTGGGTGAGATCCTTGACGGTGCCTTCCCTCTTCAATTGCAGCACCACGCGTCGATCCTCGTCCTCATCCGTATGATTACCCTCGTCGCACTCGACGCCCTCGTCCGGACTCTTGCCGTACCAGGGCTGCTGTTTCTTCTCCTCCGTGTCGAGCTTGTTGGCCGCGTTCATTAGGGGTGTAAGATCCTTGCGGCTGCTCACCCTCGAGAGCTTATTCGAGTCGGAGCCAACACCGACGCCATTCGTGCGCGCGTCGTACGTCGAACCGCCGTTCGTGTATCGCTTGTCGTTGAATTGATCTGTGTGAAAGGGAATGGACAGAGAGGGAAAAGTAAAAAGCCGGAGATGCATTAGTCAAAAATCGTGATTTCTGGATCCAATGCGAGTTCGAGTGGCTTTAATTACGCTAACCCGTGAATCGATGGGGTCGAGAACGATTTTACTTACTTGGGCGCAGTTATAAAGGAATCTGTACTATCTGTGTATTGAAAAGAGATGCAGAACACTTGTACTCGATACTCGACATCTACTAAATGTGGAATTCGGTCTAAAGTGAGTCACGCAATGCAGTTCGATCACGTTAAATTATAACGAATAATATAATTTGCCTACGGATTATCATGAATTATTAATGATGAAATATTTGATTAAATCGGCTTATTCTAGATCTCTGGTAGCAGTGCTCTGTATAAGTTTTATAATAACACGTTATAGTTTATCTAACACTACTATATTTTTAACGCTCCCTTAAATTAAATTCTCCATCTTCATTATACTGACTAATTTACTAATATCCCCTAATAAATAATTTACATACTTTATTTACGCATATTTTTGCATATAATTTTAAACCCAGAAACTCCTTAATTTACAGTTTAATGAAATTTTATTGTAATATTAAGGGCTTGAATGAAAATAAGTTGCTCAAGTAAAGTTAAGAATGACCGAATAAACAGGCTACTAAATAAGAAGAGCGATGCTCAAAAAAGGAAAAATCGTCGAAAAAAATTGTGAAGTACATTATCGGTAATAAAGAATAGTCGAAAAGTGTTTTAAAGTAACTCCCAACGTACGTGTAAGAAGATTGCACGGATATTTCGAAAAGGCGATAAAAAATGAAGAATAAGTGATTTGCCGTGGCATTGCCGCTACTTTATTCGATAAAAGACATCGATCGACATAATAATGAATGTGTTACGATAAGGAGAAAAAAAAATGACAAAAAAAGAACAGTCTTTGTGATAAAATATTTCGAGGATCAGCTCGAGGTAACGGGTGAAAAACTCCCGTATCACTCCAATTTGCTTGTTTCTTGAGAAAAGCTGAGCTTTGCTTTCCCGAGGCACGTCGGCCTTAAGCTCCTAAGCGTTCAAAAAATCACGTTATCAGCGGAATTTGTGAATTTTACAAAAATATTTAAATTTCCAAGGTAAAATCAACATCATTCTCATAGCCAAATCTTTAACACAGTCTACTATTAATTGAAATATATGGAAAATGGAAAATATATATATATATATATCTATATATATATATATATAGTTAGGATATTGAAGCATACATCCCCTCTTAATTTCACGCGTACAAATATGTTAAAGAAATAGAATTAACTCTAACACCAATATTGGGAATCTCGAATCTTCGAGACTTATTCAGAGCCTCGACCCAATCACTTTGCAATCGATCAAAACGGACCCTAACATTTAAGTATCGAAATTTCGACAAAGATCGATGAAGTATGAGGGGAACAAATGCACTTGTAATTATCTAAAATTGACCAGACTCAAGTCAAGTAAGTAAGCAGAAACGAGCCTAATACACCACACGACCGACAATTACTCAACAACACGAGCGAGAACACAATCTCGTGTTCCAATTTGGCTTTCAGATTCGGTAATCGAACAAGTCATTTCAGCATTGTCAGTGTTATAGAGAAAGGGTAGAAATATCCGGGAAAGTTGAGAAAGCTCGTAATTCTCGTTGAACGACCGCGACTCGTAGATGGCGCTACTACATACTGAAAAATAAAGGACCGCGGGCAGGGTTATATGCAAAATACTGGGAACACAGGGAATGTTTATGCGGTGTGGACGTAATTCAAAGAGGCAACGACGTATCCCAAGATCCCGACACGCTGCCTTTTCATAATACTCGAACTCGAATCGGGCGCGGGTAGTTTTATTGCGGACGCGTTGCATGCGTGTACTCACTACTCTCCTCGTCGGGGTGTCCGGGGACCGAGGCTCTCATATTGGCGGTAGCCTCCTGCTGCTCCCTGATGAAGCTCCTCTGTCTCTCGGCTCTCTCCCGGCGACGCCTCAAGGCCGGCGTCACTCCCACGTCTACTGTAAAAGTTACGGCGGCGTCAATCTCCTCGTGCTCGTTGCTTTTCTTGTCGGCGTAAAAGCGGCCACGGCGCTCTCACTTCTTACCGCTTTATTAATTATGATTGTGCTTGGAAAGGAGGATTCGATTTTCATGGCGGCAATTTTCTTTCGTTTATAAAGAGAATGAGTTTTGTACGTACGCGCCTCGTAGATCGAGGCAGACTCATGGCGTGACGCTCGACGTTACGCATAACCTAAGCTCCTACTCACTACCGGCACTATTAATAGCGCTTCGGGACCATTTGCCTGTCAAATAATTGTGCCATTTTATGCCTGCGCGCAATTACAATTAATAATGTTCGTTAAGCGAGGCCGGTGAAGTTTTTCAATGGCTCGGACGTCCTCAGCGCGACCGACGTACGTAAACTAGCCAGAAGACCGTGGTTCGCTGGTGATAAATTTTATTATTCTGAGAACGGCTGAGAGTCACCCCCCCCCCCCCCCCCCCCCCCGCGCACCCAACCCCTCGCCCGCTA